AAGAAGTTGCAGCTTCCTCATATGCCTTTGAGGAAGATCATACAGTATAGTATTGCAATAGTCCATGGCATGGACAATCTTGATAGCTGCATCATCAGTTAAGAATCTTCTAATGGTTTTGATGTTGCGTATATGATAAGATACTGCTTTACTGATGTTCTTAATGTACCTATCCATTGTCATTGAGGAATCAAATACCACCCCAATATTACGAACCTCATTAGATGGAATGACTGAGGTGTTTCCAATGTTGATGTTTTGAATGATAGGCACATTTCTAAGATACTTCGGGTAAATAAACAGTATCTCCGTTTTATCAGGATTGAAAGAGAGCATATTTTTCGCTAACCAGACTTGGACATCTCTGACGCAAGCTTCAATAGTTAGCTTAGCCTCATCATATCTTCCTGCACTTGGTTTGAAACTAATATAAAGCTGTGTGTCATCAGCGTAGGCATGATATTCAAGACAATATTGTTGAATTATGTTACCTAAAGGAGAAATATATATAAGAAACAGAATGGGACCAAGAATGGAACCTTGGGGAATTCCGCATGTAAGATCAATATAGCCCGAGGTAGTGTTCATTATGTGAACTAATTGTTTCCTTGATCTTAGATATGACTCAAACCATATGAACACTGTATCACAAATTCCTAGGGATGCAAGCCTCTGGAGAAGAATGGAATGGTCAATAGTATCGAACGTTGCAGACAGGTCGAGAAATATTGACAAGACACAGTTGCCTTTATCGAGTGCGAGCATGATGTCATTGTGCACTTTCAGGATTGCGGACTATGTGCTATGATGCTTCCTATATGCGGATTGAAGAGGATCGAATAAACTATTGTCCTCGAGATAGTTAACTACATCAGAAGAAACACATTTTTGATAAGTTTAGAAAGAAATGCAATGTTCGACACAGTACGAAGATTAGACATGATATTTGGATCTAAGGACGGTTTTTTCAAAAGTGGTCTGACCACACCTATCTTTAAATCGTCCGGAAAGATTCCATGCGGTAAAGATGCGTTGATTATCTCAGTGAAAATGGGAGCATGATTTCATGAAAAGAAGTAAGAATATTAGTAGGGAAAGGGTCCAAGATGCAAGTTTTTCTTGGCATCGTTTGAATCATCTCACTGATATTCTCGTTACACACAACCGTAAATTTACTAAGTTGATATTCATGTTGAGAAACAACAATTTGAAGTGAAGTAGCCAGGGAGGATGGTGAATGCAGAAGTGGTTGTCTTAAATTCTGAACGTTCTCACAGAAAAAGGTATTAAAATCCTGTTCAAGTTTCTTATCACTTACTGCAGATGGAAGTTCCTCATCATAACATCTACCGAGAAGCTTATTGGTCAACTTGAAAAGACGCCTCTGGTGTGAGCCACACTCTTTAATTTGAGTGTGGATGTAAGATGTCCTAGCTGCGACTAATATATCATAATATACTGAGCACTGCTCTTTGTAATTCCTGTGGTCTGCGTTTTTACCAGACTTGAGCCATACACGTTCAAGTCTGCGTCTCCTCCTTTTTGAATCTCTGCAATCATCAGTGTACCACTGAGATTTAGACCTGATTGTAATAGTCTTCTTTTTCTCAGGAGCTAACTTGTCTCTTAACATACGAAGACGAAGGTTGTAATTGCATACCACAGAATTGACATTGGCAGTAGTAGAACCATTGTTAAAGAATGTACTGAATGCAGATAATAACGAGGTCTTAAGACCATCCAATTTGATGTCCTTGAAGCTACGAAAAATTATTTCCTTTTTAAGACGGATGATTTGGAAACATCAACATCAATCTGTAAGACGAAATGATCCGACATATTATTTTGATGTACAGACGTACTGAGAATGACACTGGGATTATTTGTCACAATAAGATCCAGAATGTGACCAAGTCTGTGTGTGGCACTATTAATGAGTTGGACAAAATTAGTGGGGTCTAGAATATCCAAAAACTGAATAGTTTGAGGATTTTCAGATTTGTCAATATGGAGATTGAAATCACCTGTTATAAGAAGGTTATCTATTAATGAATACTGTTCAAGGAGTGTACTAAACTCATCAAAAAACTGTGATGTGGTACTGATTCCACAAAACGATTTAAAAGGACATCTTATCACGGTCTCACAGGCCTCAAATGAAATAAAGCCATCAATTTTACTACTTCTCATTGGTAACCATAATAAGATTCCAACACCACCGCCACGCCTACCCTCACGCAGAAAACTATTAAAAGTATAACCTTCAGGTTTACATAATGCAATAACAGAATCGTCGTCTGGATGCAGCCATGTTTCTGTTATTGAAACAATGTCAAGTGCCTGATCACTGACATAATCAGAAAACTGTGTACATTTATTACGTATGGACTGAGCGTTCCAAACAGCAAGCTTAAGTTTGTTATCATGCTCCGAAGATGCTTCAATGATGGCGTTATTGCTGATCATAGATGAAGAAAGGATTGTAGAATGTTTACCTTCTCTGGTTCTCCTGCCTGCTTTGCATCCTCGTCTATGTCGAGGGATACCGCATTGTTTCGTTGTCTCAAACGCAGATGATTACCCAACTCTTTGGGTTGGAATTCAATATATTTACAAATTAAGCGATTCAAATGTGAAATAAAAATTTTCAATTTTTTTAAAGAAAATA